AGCGGAAGGTCAACGCAAATGGCCAAAAGTTTCGAAGCAGGAGAAAGATTGACGAAGTCGAAGTCTTTAACGCGCCTTTTTACACCCAGCACAACGATGAGAAAGTCCGCGACTCTACGGATCCTCTCTGGGTATTGGAATCTGAAAAGGCCAGCTCCTACAAGCGCCCAGCGATGGATGAGCTTCCGGACGGCCACCCAGAAAAGAGAGCAAGATTGGATGAGCAAGGTACACCAAGCAAACGTGCCGGCGCGCATAATGACGATTCGGATGGTTCCATGTGGGAGCCGGATCACACATCCCCCTACCATACAGGCCCGAGGAGGAGGGGACGCCCCGCAAAGCTTTACGCACCAACTTACACGAGACATATAACCGACCAGGACGAGAATATAGAACCCCCTTCAGTCATCGAGGCGATTAAGGCATACGGCCTGTTGCCGGCTAAGTACGGCAGTAAGAAGAAAGAAGCGGCGCTCAGAAAGTTGCACAAATTGCTTCCGCATGTTGGTAAAATGAGGAATCCAGGCTTAAGCAGCTTGCCGCCTTGGTTCTTTGACAACAGCCTACGACCTATCGAGAAACGCGTTGTTGAGGTCCAGTTTCTAGAACCTAACCTCGACATCCATGAGGCCGGTGCTTCCACAGAAAAAGAGCAGTCGAAGCAAGCAGAGAAGTCAGTCCCATCAAAGGGTGAAGACTCCACAGCTGGCGATGATGCCACATCGAATAATGAAAAGGCTGAGGGAGTCCAGAAACCCGTGGTATTTTTCAGTTCGCCCCTTGTACTACGATTCAAGACGAGTCACGGGGTTCTTGGTCCTCAAAGGGGTGGCAATTCTTCGAGAACCACAATGGCAGTTTTGCTGTCAAAGGTTGGATGCCAGATCTTGACTCTCTTACTGAGGAGAATCTACCTCGCAGTGCTGAAGCGATGGCCAAGGGCCCAGGGATCACATTTAACCCCGATAGCTGGAAGGATCCGGAATACGGGAGAGTCACCACACTTATTGACAAGTGCGCGGCGTGGGAACGCTCTTCACCTGGTACCGCCTTACTCACAGCCAACATCGTGTCGTCGAAACCTATTTTCATCAACGTTTCTTCATCGACGACCAAGGCTAGTACGAAGAATCTGACGCTTAAATGGTCAGAGGATCGACAGTTCGACTTGGATACCTTGCCGTATGATGACGTTGTTCAGGTAGCGGACGATGAGTCGCTCCCGTATGACGGTGGCAGCCCCGACAGAGTCATCGTACGGCCTGTCCGGGCCACTCGCACGATGCGGAAAACTGAACCGAACAAACCTGGACGAAAAGGCCACGGAGGCCGGCCTCCCAAGATCAAGCTTCCTGCCATCAAGACGGAGCGTGAGCACACAGCTTATCCAACCACAGACAATGACTTCTTGCGGGTTTCCGGTGACCGTTCAGTGGAGCTGGATTGGAGCAGCGATAACGTCAAGGTTACCGCGTTTGTTGTCGTCACTACATTGCTGGGTGGTGTTGACAGGGTGGTTGATTGGGGTTTGATGATGAGACTCTTTCCCGATATGACGCTTAGCCAGCTCAGGCATACTTGGGGTTCTTTGAAGAAGGACCGTATGTCAAGTATTGTGAACCTGACTGATAAGTTCAGACGTGCTTTCCTCAAAGCCTATGGAATTGGCGTGCCGAAGATCAATTTTGACAATATCCTCGAATACGACTGGAAGTGGCTCATCAAGTGGGCTTCCAACCTTGACGAGTTCCGTCATGCCGACCTGCCGAAATCCAGGAATGCTCTCAAGAGAGACTATAACGTTACCGGAATAGGAATTGAGGATCGCGAGTGGCGAGAGACATACAACCATCCGCAGCGCTCGGTGTTCAACAAGTTTCAAGACGCAACGTCGGAAGCAATGGCACTGTCAATTGATGAAGACGACAGCAAAGAACAGAATGATGTCAGAAGAAGAGAGTTGGCACTTGCCATGGCATTCATGCGATCACTATGCGTGACGCCGGTAGAGACATACTCAAAGGAGCACATCAGCAAGCAACGCAACAGCTTATTCCCCACCCTCTCTAGAGCAGAGGTCGAGGGTCTCATGGTGAAGGGCGTTGATCAGCTCCAACGTGAGGGCATCATCTCTAAATCCAACTCCCGGTTCCAGAATGGCTGGCGTTGGCGCATTGCCAACCGAATCACCGACCTGCTCGACAAGGTTGCACACGAGGAAAGACTCGCTCAAGCCCTCGCCTACAAGCGGGAACTCGACAAAGCCTTCCGGGCTGGTGAGAAGAAGCGTGTTTCATATGTCACTAACGACGGCATGATTATGGCCCTGCTCAACATGCAAGCCTACCAGCGCGTCCGCATCGAGACCACAGGCCAGCCACACGTGCCTATGGGTTTCGAACCGGGCAACTACGAGACGAGAAAGTATACCAAGAAATACCTCCACTTCCGCATAGATGTCATCCCTACAGAGACCTACCGCTACGACGATGATCAGGAGCTGGTCGATTTCCGCAAGCGCATCATGTCAGCACCGCCTCCTAACATGGGGCCGGATGGCGCGACGCCCATCTGGTGCGATGTGTTTGGCCGAGTCGACGCAACTCGTTGGTTGCGCTATCTGTGTGTGGTACTCGTCACGATCGCTTCCAAGGGTGCCATGGGCCCTGAGGAGCTGTGCAAGACGCTCAAGCCAGCGATAATGCCGTTTGAGGCTGAGCTGATTATCAAGTGGGCCGAGGTGTTGGGTATCCTCGGACAGCAGTATGAGGGCACAGCGCTAACGGTGATGGAGTGGTGGTGGATGGTCTTGGACGCGCAAAAGCAGGGTCTGGAGTCTGGTCTTGCCGGTGCTGATGTAGCAGAGGGAATGAGGACTAGGAGAATGTTTCCTGGCATGATGAAATTCTAGCTTGACCACTGGTGTATCCAGAGACGAAAATTGAGATGAGGACGTCAAAAGGAGCTGAAAAGGATATACAGCTTGTGGAGGAAGATTATGGCTTCCCAGTATTGCTCAGAAAAATATGTGCCCCAGCTTTTTGTGGCTGAGGGAGCAACTGTTGGAGTAGAGACGAACATGAGTAGAGACGAACATTGTGAAGGCAGAGCAGCAGATGCGAAGAAAGGATAAAGGCAGAAGGGGAGAACACGGATCATGAGCTCATTTCAGGTCTACTACTACCATTGAATGATACCCAGCACACTTTCAGTTTAGCAGTTTCATCACAAACTATTTGTTAAAGACCATTATGCACATGCTGTCGTCGATGTGGATTTAGGTGTCTTTGCTTCACAGTTCATTGTATTTCGGTCAGTAATGACCGGCAAATATCCAGTGTCGTATGGCCCTTTCCTCCATCGTATCAAAGCGTTTCCTTTGGCCAACCCGAGTTATCTCCCTCTCTCTTCTCTACGATGTATTTTGAACCGTCCAGGAACATTATTCTCTCCAATGGCTAACAAGTTATTCTGAGGTACCTTTCGTCTTGACGAAGTGTGTATAGCAAGCATCACGATGAGTGGAACATCAGTGATGGCTTTGGACGCAATGCTATATGCCTGATGTCTGTATCACCACTTGGCAATAACGAAGCTGGCCACTATCATCAGATGCTTTACTGTGTAAACAGCAATGCCAATGCCGAACCGGCCCCGAAGGTCTCACAAAATATGCCGTGCTTCGACAAGTACAATTGGCAGATGTGACCGCTCTGTCATCCATCCATTCACACAACTCTTCAGTCGATTGAAGGTTATGGTAGCTCATGACGCTTTTCGACTTCGTCATTAGGACACTGACTGCTATCATATTTACTTTTGATTCACTGATCAATCTCTCTCTCTCCAAATAATGAGGAACACAAAGATGAAAAGGTTAGACGAACTGAAGGGTTGGTTGCTGGGCCCTGATGATCGCGGGCAAGGAGGATCATCGGAGCAGTGAGAGTGCCACATGGCATCCCAAAAATGAGGAGGGGAACACACATCCTTCCCAGACAGACAAACCGCTCCTTCTGACTCCGACCCAAGCAAAAGCAGAAGCGAAGCAAAGAAGAAACGAAATGATGAAGGAAGAAGGGATTGGGGCCACCCGGTTGCCTGTCCCGGATAGAAGAAAAAGGGAAACCGCCGAGCAAATGCACGACTGGAAGTCGCAGGAGAGCGTGACCGAGCCAATGGTAGCTTTCCGTCTCTTCGCATACACTCCTCGGCAATTGGTCGTTTGCTTGAACTGGTATCGTAACACAGCTTGAGAAGAAGTGGTGAAGAGAGGAAGAAAAAGACCACCCGAAGCCAAATGCCCATCTCTGCCTGCACTGCTCCGATGCCGGGAGCTTGGAGAGCGGCATCAGGAGAGGCGTTCCGAAACTAGCTGGTAGAGGCTGCCAAAGTTCAGACAAGACGACGATAAAGTCAACATCGTGACTGCTTGCTGCCTGGCCCATAATCAGATCATTCATGCAGCACCGACGCGAGGAAGGAGGACCCAAGGTGGTATACCAAGCATATAAAATGACTGATATCAGATACGTGTCTGTCTCGCTGGGTAGAGGTACATAAAGGTTCAGAGAGACTCAAACTTGCCGAAGACCCGTCTGCGCCTGCCAGCTGGTGGACGATGCCTTCCTCATTAGCTCTGGGTCGTTCTCTTGGGGCAACACTGCATAAGGTACGGAGGTGCTGGCATAGCAAGACAGGAGGGGGACGACGACGGTAAATGATGATTGAGGACTCCGGCTGGCCAGCTGAAGTGCTCCTTGTTGGACGATCTTCTCAGTGTGTCCAATCCGAACCTTGTAACAAGCTTACCAGCAAGATGCATTGCAATCGGCGTGTCCGGACCAGCACTGTCTGGCCTGTCTGTCCCACCGTCATGCATTTCCTGACACCGTTATACTCGGGCCTGTACTCGTCGACGAAGACGGAGACACCAAGATGATGTGCTCAACCGTGTTGCGCACACGGTATCTAGGGACGCTGTATGGAGTCGGATGTATACCTGGCGCGAGGTTATCTACGATGACCCCTTTAGGGACGCCGATTGACCCTGAAGGAAGGATCATGATGATTGCTGTTGTGGCCAGGAAAAGGGGGCGCCCGTCATGTAGATGAAAATAGGAGTCAAAGAGGCGTCAAGTCGTGCAAAGGCGACCAGTCCTCAAGCGCTATCAACGCTGTCAGAGCTATCGATAGGCTTTTTGTGCGACCTGAACTGGCCAACCCCGGGGCAAACGCCACATCAAATGCCAAACCGCTGCATGGCGCAATCTCTTCCCAACCTCCAACCACTGCAGCCAACACCCACCGAGGAGCAACCACCAAGCGCGCCCAACGAGAAGTCCACGATACACTCGACACACCTCGCCCAGACCTCGCCTAGACCTCGTCGTCCGAGGAGGCACCTCTACCTTCCTCTCACCGTCATGGCCCAGAGCGTTGCGGCCGTGAATGAGCTGCATCATGCCAGCTTCAAGCATGCCCGCCCGGTCAGGCTCTCAGGGGCCAAATCTTCTCCCAACCACACACTTTCTCCCATGGTTGCCTTGCCCACATCTCCTGCATGTTTGCGCTACCTGTCTCTTTTTTCCTCTGTCGCTTTCAACATGGCAGCCTCCATCCTAGGCCGACCTTCGGCATTGCCTATTTCCGGTTCTCTATCAGCCACCTTCCTCTGACACCTTGCAGGCCATCCAGCTTCTCCGCGTTTCTTATCCCCAAGACGATCTCGCGCTACACGAACCCTCAAGCCACAGGGGAAAGGGAAAGGGGAGGAGAGGAGCAGAGAACTCCCACAGTGGCTGACACACAGGGTATTGGCGGAAGAGGAAGGCGGTCGAGTCAGAGCCCCAAGTCATCCCAGGCCAAGACTCCCCCAGGAGGGCAAACAAAATCAATATGAGACAGCGACCCCCTACGCGAATACACAGCACCAGTGTGCATGCGCCGGTGTGCAATAGTCAGCGAGGACCTTGGCAGAAGTTGCTGTGATCGAAGGTTGACAGATGGATCACCGCCTACCTCCATCCTCGCTTTCCGACAAGGGACTGCCTCCTCCACTTCGTCCCATAGAAGCCTCGGAAGAGCTTCTAACACACCTTGATATGTACCTTGTCGGCACGAGAGAAGGTTGCTTATGCCATGTCCCTCCCCTATCCCCAGTCCAGCTGAAGAGGCCGGAAACAGAGCGGCCACGCTGCGAGAGCCATGCAGACATCCGGATACCTACCCAGCACTTTGGCATACTGAGCCTCACAAGACAAGGCAACCTCCACAACACACTTTCTTTGCACCTGTATCTCCTTTCACACCTGCTTAGGCCAAGGCTGGCTTCATTTTGCCTTGCGTTATCACTCCCCTGGCTTTACTTGTCTCACCTCCCACTCGGTCAACCAGTGGACAGGGAGGGGTCTCAGAGACGTGAGGAAACCAGGAGACGTTGGGGATAAGGAGGTACGTCGGAGAGTACGGCATTCTATCAAGGCCTGAATGAAGACTGGAAAGCGCCAGGGAACAGGAGTGAACATCACGCGACCTCTAGGCCCTGTTGGTGGTCGTCGCTTGTGCTACGCCCTGTGCCCTTCCCGTACGGACAACGACGGGAGGGGATTTTTGCGGGAAACCTGGGAGTCTATTGTGCTGACTTGACAATGTAGCAGCACACAGAGCTGGAAGACTCTTGTCGCCTACGGGAATCTCCGTGGAGTCGCGGTTACCTTTTGTCCTGTGCACAAGATTCAATGCGCGGGGTCTTCGTCTTACCGTCGTTTAGCTCCCAAGTCTATGTGCGGGAGGCTTTCAAGGTCCTGAGCCACTGAGATTTGGTTATAACATGAATGATCTGTGTTCCATACATGAATAAGGTAACCTCGGGGAGCTCAAACTGCCCTATTCTTCGTTTACGGAAAGCATGTGAGCGACCGCCAACTCATTACAGAGAGCAACATGATCCTAAACGATAGAGTTGGGCGTGAGGGATCCTCTACCCGGTATTTCGGTCTGACAACAAACGTGAGAAGACAGGAACGCATGACCAGCACCGCCTGAAGCCGGTGAGAAGCACGACTACAGATTTACGATGTCACGATATTCTCGACGATGTACATCGAAAAGAGTGACTCGAGTATGGGGAAGTACTCTCTACGACATGGTACTCAAGTCTTCGTTCTCTGACCAGAGCAGACGGCCGTCCATGGACAGCTCACCGTTTTCACTCCTCGGCAGCGTCAGCCCCGTCTTGGGTCTTACTCAATCACACCTGAGGCCCGATCGAAAGCACGCCATTTCTCTGTTGATGGCCACAAACAAGGCCACGCATGTGTGCCTACGCATGCCAGTGTTTGTGTTATTGACGTCGGTGCCTCTATGTCAGGCAGTCAGGTGTGTCTGGCTCTATGTAGGTATCCGGGTACACTGCCAGTCCGTCTTTCCGGCTTCGATTGCCCCAGACTGTCGCCGGCGCATCCTTCTTGTTGCCTCATTTACCATTCATCCCGCTGTGTGCCATCTATCTCTCAACCGGGCAGCTACTAAGATGAGTGGGCGATGCGAGGATGGTGTGCCTACCAAAGAAGCGGAGCGAGATCATGGTTGGTGTCACGAGCCTCATCATGTTCCATGCAACTTTCTCTTTACTGCAACCTATCTCACGGGTCCTCACACCACCCGATTGATGGAGATTGGTGATTCTCCGACAGTCTACAATGGGGAAATGAGCATGGATATTGTATAACGACTAATTATCGACAGGCTCGGCCGTCAGAAGAGCGTGCCTTTAGCCATAACCGAGCCTGTCATCTTTCTTCCCCAGCGCATGTATGCACCCATCCATCCATACAGACTGGCACTATCGATCCATGTCTCTCTCGGATAATGGCATCTAGGTCTCAAGGCAACCTGACACCTACAGAGCGGTCAGTTGTCAGGCACACACACAACGGATACTCGCTGGAGCTTCCCCATTGTCTGTGATATGAACACCACGACAAAGGGCAATTTTCGGAATACTTGCTGTTCCGTATTCTCTTCAGGGCCCTTTCTTCATGCACACTCTTGATCCTTCTCTTCTATTTTTCTCTGCAGAAAAGCACACATGGCAACATCTTACCTACATGCCAATATCTGGACTTCAAGCTTTGTTGAGCTACAGAGCGTACCGTGCGAGTAAGGGTTGAAGACCATGAAAAGCCCTCATTTTCCGTTATGTGATTCGTCACAATTGGGCACCGATACTTCGGAACCTCGGAGCATGTCTTTGGAGGAAAAAAAAAACAAAAAAACAAGAACTAATTCGACCGTAACACTATTACATTGCAGACTTCCTTCTCATCATCACGTAACCCTATCCCATTCTCTGTCATATTGTTTGTTTTTCCTGAGAGAGTCTCAATGCCGAGGTTTGCTGCCGAGAGCATGCCATAGCAGCGAGAAGTGCGAACGGAGGAAGGAACCACACAGGATTTGGCAACAGGCACCGGGAAATTATTGCGCTCATGTCTCACACTGTAGGTTCCGTTCCAGTACGAATCGAGCGAACGAGAGAGTGAGGGTCGACGACCATGAGAACAGAGCCAGTAACAGAGCGAGCCATGTATGTAACCCCCGAGGGTGACCAGTCAAAGAGAGACCAGCTAAGCTATCTTGAGACAGGACCTGACTATTGAATTTGTAGCTAACAACGTTAAAAGCCGATCACTTATGCGGGTTTTGACCGTTCAGTGCATGATGCCGGTCATACAGCAGTAGTCGTACCCTATGGGCTCGGCAAATGTTGTGAAACCAGACCGGCGGAGTTCTCTCCTTGAGCAACAACGATGAAAACGACGTACGACAACGACAATGAGGACCGACTAATACGTTTACCGAGCCTGGTTGGATACAGAGAAGGTTTCGACAGCGATAGCGATGACATTTCGAAGTGGTTACGGTACGACATGGCTAGCCTCATTGCTCAACATGTCAGGGCGCGTAAGCTACAGGGGCAGCAAAGAAGGAAAATGTTTGGAAAGCATTGGAAATAACAAACGATGAATTGAACAAGTTTGGTATGTACGATCCAGGTAATGACCACTGAAACTATACAAAGCCTGCAATGAGCAGTTATGGACTGTACAAACGGTATTGAAAAGGCCAACTTTCCACGTCTCACAGGACTCACTTTGAGTTATATGCTTAGCAACACTCGCGGGCCACTGTCCAGTTCCATTGCATTGACGGACAGTAGCAAACAATGGCAACCTAGCCACTTACTACCCTTCATATTCTCTCAACCCAGCTCACCGGACAGTAAGGAACTATATGGGCCTTCCCGATCAGGTCGCTCTGAACTACCCCTATCCTAGCTCACACATATGTAGGTTCTATACGAGCGTCCATTGCATTTAGAAGTCAATAGGTTTTACTTTGATGTTTCCCTTTCCCATGTATCTCACTCCGGGTATTCTAGTTTCCGTCTTCGAATGTGCGGTAACATGAACGTACCTGAGCTACCTTCCGTTTCCCACAGGATCCCCCACAGGTAACGAAATCAGTGGTAATAGAAGAGCAATCAGAAGGAAAGTAACTGTCTACCTATTAACCTCACTCATTTAGCTACCGGAACTGTCGGCCTGCAAGAACATCTTTCCTTATCGAAAGGCATAGAGAAGACCGGCGAGAGAGGGAAAACCCATGCAGTCCCAAGACGTGACATGTCGTATTATTCGCCTTTTAACCCAAAATAAAGAGTAAGGTATTGACCAGCCAGCCTCTTCTCTTCCGGAACGAAACAATGGGGTTTTTTGCCCCTTCCAGTTTCGAGGAAATAGGGCCAATGTGGCTTTTCTGTATGCGAGCAATTAGTCCATGATATTTTTCCTGCCTTAAACTGTACGTTGGGTCTTCCGATCACTGTCCAGCTAGATTAAGCTACAGTTGACACTCGCTCATTTCCCCCTCTAAGCTCCGTCTTCATATGCATCGGGAATTTCGAGCTGGAGGTCACGATGATAAGCTGAATGACAAACTTCTCACATGGAAATCATACCTACATGTATGACCATTACATCCCGCGAAGAAACAAATTACCCCCAGAAACTCCTATCTGGGTAAGCCCAACACAAAACCCACAAGGGTCGCTTACACTTTCCCATTTCACCCTCCCGGTATAAAACCCCCCCCCCCAGAGCTGAAGCAATTACTACAACTCAAACATCACGGGGGGCATCTAGAACATGATTAATCGCCTATTCCAAACATCAGGTTTTACCTAACTACCTACCTTACCCAGCATACACCACACAATGAAGAGAATGTTATCATCTATCTCTGAGTAACTCGACGCCACGGGATGACTGAAGTAGGATCCCATCCCGAAGACCAAAGAGAATGAACGAACGCAAAGAGAAAAATGATGGATCAGGTGCAGTGTCATCATGAAAGCTGGGCACAGGGTCTTGGGTTGCCTCTAGGATGCCTCTAGGATAAAACAGAGGTGCAGTGGGGGGAAGGAAGGAAGGAAGGAGTGATGAGGGCATTGTGGGCTATGGCGGCATGACTTTGCTGAGACAATGGCGAGTGATAACTCATTTTCTGTGAGCTAGAGGTACTATTGTTGTGTGGAGGTAGGTAAGGCAGGAGCAGCTTGGGGTTGTAGCTATCGCGGCTTCCGTTTCCTAACCCGCACCCACCCCCCGTAGGACTCCAACTGCTGTGATCACCCGGAAGGCACGGGAAGGCGACCGCTACCCACCAGGGCAGGTTGAACTTCCTCCTTGGGACCGACTTACGGTAGATACGCTTAGTTGCATACAAGCTTGTAGAGGTGGATATGTGCTGCCTACAATAATATATATTGTTCAAAAGCGTAAACAGACAACCAGGAGGCAAGGGAACTTTATCCCACATCTTCTTTCCCTCTGAATACCTACCACCCGTGCCGTCAAATTTACCTAGATATCAGCGCAGCACAAGCACGAGAAGTCTTGTCACACACAAAGATACACACACAAACGCACAGAGATGCCTGAGATCCGTAAAACGGGATGACATGGTCCTCTCTTAGGATGTATCACCTTCACTTGTAAGAATCGTAGGTACCTAACAGCAGATATCGAGGTAGATACCATACCACCTTATCACGTTAGCGTTCAAAGCAGACAGGTACAAGTCTGGTTGCAGGCCAGGAACCAATGAAAGGCATGCTGGATCGTGATCGTACCCTGTCTGCGTGTAACCAAGCAAGCTTGACTGGACTGGGACGCTTTGGGATCTTACCTTGGCCAAAGATCTCCTTCTCGGTGGGACTGTCGACGACGTAGAGTGTCTTCAAACACAGCCTGACACTAGTGATGTCTGTCAGACTTTAACTACCTCTACGTAACGGAGTATGTCCGAGGTCCATGCCATCCACCCCAGCTCGAAGCAGGGTAGGCAGGGGCATCGACTCGAGCGTACCCTCACTCCTGCAGTAGGAAGCTATACGATCCAGCCCTGGTTTGTTTGTTAGTCTGGTACAAAAAACGGCAATTTTGCCGGATATAGGAAAGCGTTCGGCTTTCTATCGGTTAACCACCGTAGACCGATATCTTCCAGTCTTGAAGGAGCCGGAGAGAGACATAAGAGGCTTCTGTAGCGTCTTAAACCCTTATCATTATCCCATAATGCTCCAAACGAAGACCAGTTTCGCTCTTGGGAGGCCAATAAGAGCTCCAGATCTCCCCTGGTCAACCCCAGTCCGAAGAACCAAACTAACAAACAAACCAGTATTGAATTGTACGCCGTACGACAAGACAGGGCCTCCTCTGACATATGTCCCCCTTGTCCCTATGTCGCCTTACCTACCTACCATCGTACCAAGCCTAGAGGTACCTAACCCCCGTTCGATAACACCTATCCATCCCCTGGCTCCCCCCTCGCTGGCTCGCCATCTTCATGATCACTTACATATGGCATACCATCATGGGTGGAATGCTACCCCCCTAACCAGGCTTCTTGAGGGAAGAAGAGAAAAGAAAGGAAATAGCACGGGTACTAAGATCGTTCGATGGTCGATGAGATGCATGTCAGGTTGTTGGTGCCGAAGGGCAGCCAACTACCGGTTGAGGGGTCCTTGTCCTGGAGAAAAGCCGTTAGAGAAGGGACATGGGAGAGATAGACATGGGAGAGATAGACATGGGATCAATGAACAGGCGGTGCTCACATATGTCCTTGCTTAAGGTTGGTAGGGAGATACCACTGTTGAAATGAGTGTTGGGGAGTGTCTGTTAGGGCAACCATTCAAGCGTGATGGCCATTTGATGAACATAACGATGAACATAATGATAGTAATCAAGGTTATGGGAAGAAGAAATCAGGAAAATTCACCAGATAGACTTACCGGACGCCTTTCCGCTTAGTCGATTTTTTCTTCTCTTCGCATTGGTTTTCGATCTCCCCTCTTTATGTTCGAAAAAGGAAAAGGGGGAAAGATCAACAGGAAAACGTTCGACGGGACAGAGATCTCCCCATGGGCATTAAGGTATTGATCCCGGTTCCGCGAGTGAGCCAATTCAATTTCACTCTTCATAATCAGCACCGCTACATACTGACACGTCCAACACTCACTATTCACTCGGATTGGCGAACATCACAGCCCCCAAGGACTGCACTATGAGACTTACAGTATCTCGCCATCAAACGCATTTCATGATCCCGCAAGTCAGTGAACTAAACCCTACCAGGCTGGCGCTGTACGTTGGTTACCTCAGCGTGCTCAGGTTACGTACGCATCATCGACCGACCGCATCATTGGCATCAATGGCATCAGCAGCGGCATCAGCACGTTGTTTCTCTATGCCCAACCGTTCGTCGAGTCAGACACTCGACCAAGCAGGCCGCGCAACGCAACGCACCGAAACGGAACCAACCAGCCAACCCGCCAACCAACTACAGTTACCTCCCGTAGCCAGCCGATCCCCAATAACCAGTAGTTAACCAGTAATAGCCAGTCAGCAAAGCCAACTGGGAACGGGAACAGACAACCCTTCTGTTTTGTTGCGTTTCGGCAGACCATAGCCGAGCAAACGAACGATTATGATGCTGCTGATGATGATGATTTTCGTTGTGGCTTTGCCTTGCTGGGCCCCTTAAAAGAAGTATACGTACTGCGTATGTAGTGTATATACGCAGTGAAGCGTTATAGTCTGTTATTGTCTTCTCGGTTAGGATCATCAATAGACGAGTTAGCAACTGGTTGGATAAACGGACATGACAAACTCGATAGTAACTTCAATTCGATATCAGCCCAGTCGTTGATATCCATGAACTGTGCTTGAGTTGCTCCCGATCTTCATCATCTTTCACAGTACACAAAGTCCCGCTCACTACGGCGTTACGCAAAGTGCAAGTGCGGGCACGGGCGGGACTGGCCGCCAGCCAACCGGCCAGCCGGCAGGCATTGGATATATGTATGGCGCAACGGCCCAGTCGGGGCCTTCCGTTGTTGGTGAGCAGATGGGCAGACGGAACAGACGGGCAGAAGGGGGAGGGGAGGGAATGGATGGGTGACGGAGGTTGCTACAGATCAGGAGATTTGCCTGCCGAACAAACAAAACGCACGGACGGGCGAGAAATGCGGGCGGAAGGATTTGCGGCGGAGTCTTGTCTTTCTGCAACAACTTGTGAGGTTCCGGAGCACGGAGTCGGATCCGGTACGTCCGTCTCTCGCTCGGGGCCCCGCTTGGACGGAGTAACGGGGAGTTTTTGGGTGGACGGACGCCCGCCAGCGAGCCCGGAGTGAGCTATATAGTGGGGTTCACTCACTAGAGCAGTTAGAGGTAGCACTTGGCTGCTCGTGGCTGGGTAAGGTACACAGTCTACCTAAACCCAAACCGGCATGTACATCGCTCTTCCGTGCGCTTGCTGGTCACTTACCTCTGCCGGCCGGCAACATTCCATGATATGTTTCTGTTCCTTCTTGCCACTCGTTTCTTTGACCAGCACCATGTGGCACCGCTCGTCCATCGGCATATCCAATGGCCCGTCTGGTGGTGGTTCACTAGCGTTTGAGTGGAGAGAACGTGAGACGTCCAAGAAGTTCCAAGATCATGAAATGGAACCGGACCGATCATCGGGATATCTGGAATAAGAAGGTGCAGTGCAGTGGTGAGAAAGCGCTTCAGTCCTGCTCTCACGCAATCAAAGAAGCAAGTGGAAGCAAGACAAAAACGCTACGGGGCAGTGACAGCCAAGAGAGCCAGTGGGAAGGAACGGATAACTACAGCGCTGGGTAGTATCCATAACGTGGAGGCAGGAGCAACCAGAAGATAAATGATTTCCAGTGACGAACAAAAACCGCAAACCAGCAAGAACGTGAGAGAGAGAATGTTGAGCGGGTAGTGAGTGAGGGAAAAGGCGTGTTTTCATGTCTGTCTGACGTGGCTAGACTGGAGGATGGAGACTAGAGACTGGATGGAGCAATATCAAGATCTAATCGAGCAAAAGAGCGCAATTCGATTGATAGGGCAGATTTAATGGCCGAGAATGGGGCAAAATGCTACCCTAGATGAGCTTGGCTGTTGTATGGATATGGTTTAGTCAACATGCGTAGTCCTAGACTATTCACGGGTAGACAGATAACGGGTGCCCGATCCGTTTTCGCTTCTCGTGGGCCCTTCAGATCCCTTCGCAATCGCTTAGACGAATCTCGTGAGTGAACAAGAATGCGAACAAGTGAGAACGAGAGAAGCTTGAGGGCGGGTAACGTTGCATTTTCCTAGGATATGCTTGGATCAGTGAACATGAAGAAAAGAAGCTAATGTGCGGTTTTTGCTGTGCCGAGACGGAACATGGACGGAAAGCAGAACAAACTCCTCTCTGATGGACTCCTATGGAGTCTTCGAAATGGAGTGTGATAGGGCAGTTAGAACTTAACCGCAGTAGTTGGCTTGTTGGGTTTGGAAGATCATGATAATTACATGGAATAAACGCCAGCGTTTGGTTCAGTACCAAGCTCATGCTTGTAAGCGGCGCAGTTGATGGGGCGAGGCAGCTGATCGTTGGAGGAACGGGTACGGTAAGGTAAGATAAGATGGTAGGATGAACAGAAAAGGCTAGGACGGAACCAAGTCCGTATCGAAAACGGGAGTAGCCCGGTGGGGGCTGAGGGCAGTAAGGAATTGGGTGACTCCCACACAAATAAGACGGCAGAGTGAGGGCTTACCAGCATCGAGTACAGTGACTGAAACTTTGGGAGAGCCGAACGGTATATCAGGAAGTTGCATATTCTTCCATGCTTTATCCATTAGAACCATGCCTCTGCATGCAATAAGACGGCGCGCCCTACGCGTGGAGGTTTTCGTGGGTGATTGCTGTTTCCGGATCTCTGAGGGTGAGGTACCCGTTACAATCGCCGATTTGCGATAACCCACAAACGCCTTCTTTTCCCTTTGGCTGTTTGACTTCATGGTATGGTCGCACAGGATTAAGGGGTAGCATCAATCCCATTCCGCCCACGCAGAAATATTTTTCTGTGTCTTGAGAACGCAATTGGCAATTTGAGCATTGGTGGCGTACGCGGGAAGTGTTGAGAGCAGTGAGACCGGGAAACGAAATTTTCATGACCGAGAGGGAATTGAGGTGATGCCAGTTTCATCTTGCCGTCCATCCTGTAAGATAACCATGACAGGTCACATTGAGAACCTCGACGTCCACGAACTGCTACTTGAAGTCTCCCAGCAGGGCTGACGACGTGCAGGAATAGTCCGAAGGAAGTGGAGGTCAATGACGGTCCAGAGAGAAAATGGCGACAGGACGTGTCCAAGAAGGAAAGAGGCAGTGTCTGGACCGTTGTACTTCATCACGTTAGCTGACTCGTGGTGGGTGCGGTTGGTCCATAAGGCCAGAGGCACCTCGAGCACCGTAATGCGAATAACCCATGGACAATATAGGCAGCCATATAGCAGGACATGGAATATCCTATGTAAGGTAAAGATGGACTTGCCAAAAAGTGCAAGAGAGTCCGAAACCGTCTCAGTTTGAAAGGCCATTGATGTGGCTTTTCATTTAGAAAATGGATCTGTCAGGTTACACAAACCGAGGTCTGGCCTGCGTTGCACTGCAAATTGAAGCCGGTGAAGATGGGGGTTGAGACAGCTTGACGGCCCCTCACCGAACAGGCTCAAACATGACAGGTCATGGTCCTGCCGGGTTTGCAATCTCTCTTTTTGCAACCAAAGCACCCTGTTTCTCGTCGCAAGATATCATAGAGGTTGAGAAAAGGCGGAAAAAAAAAGCTTCGCCTTGGTGCTTTCCTGCTGACGTTGAAGACATCCGCAGAGACATGACGGTGGTCCGTGATGGTCTGGCCAAAAGATGGTGTGTCGAGAGAGACGATTAAGCTGAAAATGTCCAACGGAGGCTCAATGTTGGTAAGATCTCTGGATTGCGTGGGAACAATGCTACCCACCACTCCCGTTTGTACTGTACCCCAGATTGGAGCCCCCGCCATCGTCAGTCGTCGTCCGTCGTTGGAATTGACCGCATGCCCGTGCATATACGGACCGCATGTCGCCCAGCGACGGAGTGGTGTGCTTTTGGGCCATTAGAAGGACAATGATCAAACATACCGCTAATTCTCATTCAAATCGAATATATCCCCCACACTATACTAGTCAGTTACATCTGGAGAGAGACCTTCACGCCGACGCCTCACGGGGCATGCAGGCCTCAGCAAACCACATAACTGGCCAGGACGGGGGGGGGGGGGGGGGGGGGATAAATCCGATTTGAATGAGAATTAGCGGTATTTGACCAATTCCATCAGCTCCCAGCCTAAGCCTCAGAGCCCACTGTCGTTGTTGCGGGCCGACTTTGAGGCCTTGACGTCTCCCAACTTTGGCAGAATGATAGGTGGTATTCGGATGAAACGCGATGGTTAGTAAGGTTAGGCTGATGGTAAGCTGGTAGCCGAGATCAGCTGTCTCTGCGCGTGAGATGCGCGATGCCGAAAGGGGCAGCCACGACTAGTGATAAATGGCAGTCTGGCTGTTGATGACGGGCGGGAGAGGGGGCCGGGGGCCCGGAGAGGGAAGGACCGGAATGGTCACCACCTAATTCGTCGGTGTCGCGTAACGGGCTTGTAGAAAGATACGTACCGCACCCCCAGTCACCTCTAGCCCCCGTACATTTACTGCTTAGAATGGTATGGCTTCTTGAGTCCTGTGATTGTATAGTCTTTGCCTCTTTGGGTAGTATGTATGGAGTTGAAGCTAGTTGAGTTAGTTCTTTATACGTAAGAGTCGTATATGGCCGTTGTATTAATTTAGTAAAATTATAAAAGTTATGAAAAAGTGGCCTATAAAAGTTATAATGTAGAGTGTAGTATTATAAGTGACTATACCGCTTACTATTATTGATAATATTTAATATTAGTCTCCTTGAATTATTTAATGGCT